GCTTAGCGCAATAACAGCCTATATCATTTTGTAAGAGCATCCGAGCAAAGGAATGAATGGAGAACCATGATCGTCGATGTCTGTCGCAGATCTGGCACTGGATGATGATGATGACGATCATTATCGTTGTTTTATTGTTGTTATTATTGTTTTTAATCCTACTTGTAAGCATCGTTTCATTCCCCCCAGAGCGTTCAAGCTAGAAAAGGCTTCACCAACATGTGTAGACGGCTGTACTGTTACCTCCCCTCTGAGCCAGGCTACTGTGGCTCCGTCATCGCTGCTGAGTACACTGTGTGCGGGAGCCAGAAGGTGGAGATGTTTTTGTTGTTTTTGTCGTTGTTGTGGTTTCATGGCTGTTGTTTTTGTCCGAGTGTATTGTGTGAGACAGTCAGAAGGTGAAGATGGTGTTAATGTTGTAGTTGTTGTTGTTGTTGTGGTGGTGGTGGTGGTGGTGGTGTTGTTGTTGGTGTTGGTGGAGATGGTGTTGATGTTGTTTTTTGTGGTGGTGTTGTTGTTGTTGTTGTTGCCATGACTCATGTTGTTGGTGGTAGTGTTAATTTTGTTATTGTTGTTGTTTTTGTGAACTATGTGGAAGTCAGAAGGTGAAGTTATTATTGCTGTTGTTGTTGTTTTTGTGTTTGTTGTTATTTTTGTTGTTGTTGTGGTTGCTATTATTGTTGCTGACGATGATGATTATGATGATGATGATGATGATGTTGTTGTCGTTGCTGTTCTTGTTGCTGTTGTCACTTTTTAATGATGATGATGATAAGGTTTATGTTATTGCTGCTGTTGTTGTTGTTGTAGTTTTTATTGTTGTTAGTCTTTTCATAGGGAGTAAAAATGCCCATACAATTAAATGCCTTTTCATACTTAAGTATCTTTGTTCCGTATTTCCCCAGTGGTGTTACCAGGGACGATGTGTAAAAGACAGCAAGGCTCCTCTGGTTCCAGGTGAGATAGATAGATAGATAGATCTAGAGAGAGACAGACAGACAGACAGACAGACAGACAGACAGACAGACAGACAGACAGACAGAGACAGAGAAAGAGTGTGTGTATATGTTTTCTGATAAAACTAAATATTTGACCAGGTACTTATTTTTGGGCCTTTTCATCCCGCTGCTCAAAAATAACTTTGCCGACAACTGGGACCTTTCTCCAGGCACACACACACACACACACACACACACACACACACACACACACACACACACACACACACACACACACACACACCGCGCGCGCACGCGCGCACGCACGCACGCCCGCACCCCCCGCCCCAGAAAACGCGCACGTATAGTGTAATAATGATCACACACGCAATCTACACACAAACGTTTAACTCTATAGTTCTACTCACAGTTTTATTGTTACTGTTTACAAATATTTTGCATTCTTTTGACACATTCTGGGCGATATCTTCCACTGTTGAGTGATTTGGTAATTTATATGTGAGGCATCGTGGTGGAATCAGACACTTGTCAATTTTTTAGCATGTAGATGTATTGGTATCGTCTTAAAGCTTGTTCACTTGTCTTTATCTGGATGAAAAAAATATTTTTTATTTTGAATACAAGTCGAGATATTTGCTCAAGAAGGAGGTGAGGTTCACCTGTTTTCAGAGGTAAAATTAGTGAGAAAATGGCCGACAAAAATTAGTTATTTTCTTAGCTTAAGAGTCCATGGTAACTGAAAATTTACATTGTTTGTGTCTTTAATCAACGTTTTTCAGAAAAATCCACACAGAAATGAGTTCGTTAATGGGCATGAAAGGTGTTGAGCCAAAAAACCAAAAATTTGATAAAAATTCACCCTGCGGAAAAATGCAAGTTTCTTCACTTTGATTATTTTGACGAGAGCCTGATTCCACTATGCTGCCTCACATATTTATATAACTGCTACATCCGTGATGAGTTAATTTGAGACGTTTCTTATAATATTTTGTGCAGAAAGCTGCCCACAGGGAGATGAGCCGGGCTATCAGTGCACCAGAGACGACTTCAAAGCAGAGAAAATCTACACAAAACCTTTTACTCTTACACATTATTGTAGTTCTACTCACAGTTCCATTGTTACTGTTTACGAATGTTTTGCATTTCATTGACACATTCGAAATCATTGCATACCAAACTGGGCGATATCTTCCACTGTTGAGCGATTTGGTAATATTTTATGTGACTGCCATATCCGTGAAGAGTTAATTCGAGACGTTTCTTATAATATTTTGTACAGACAGCTGCCCACAGGGAGATGAGCCGGGCTATCAGTGCACCAGAGACGACTTCGAAGCAGAGAAAATCTACACAAAACCTTTTACTCTAACACATTATTGTAGTTCTACTCAGTTTTATTGTTACTGTTTACGAATGTTTTGCATTTCATCAACACCTTCGAAATCATCGCATGCCAAACTGGGCGATATCTTCCACTGTTTGGTGATTTGGTAATATTTTATGTGACTGCTATATCCGTGAAGAGTTAATTCGAGACGTTTCGTATAATATTTTGTGCAGACAGCTGCCCTCAGGGAGATGAGCCGGGCTATCAGTGCACCAGAGACGACTGCGAGGCGGAGAAGAAGGTCAGAGATGTCTTGTGTTGCAAGACGTGTGGACTCAGTGGTCAAAGTAAGCGGACAGTGAACAGACTTCGTATGTTGTCGATGCTGTTGTTGTTGGTGTTGGTGGTGGTGGCGGTGTTGTTGTTGTTGTTGGTGTTGTTGTTGTTGTTGTTGTAAGAGAACAGACTTCGTATGTTGTTGTTGTTGTTGGTGGTGGTGGTGGTGGTGGTGGCGGTGTTGTTGTTGTTGTTGGTGTTGTTGTTGTTGTTGTTGTTGTTCTGGTTGTTGTTGTTTTTTATTATTGTGAGGACTTAGTACCCAAGATAAGCTAAAAGACTTTTTATTTTGTTTTTGTTGTTTTGTTTCTGTTGTTATTTTGTTGTTGTCATTGTTGGTGTTGTTACTGTTATTGTTAATGTTGTTGTTGTTATTGTTGATGATAATGTTGTTGTTGTTGTGCTAGGTGTTGCTGCTGCTGCTGCCAAACTTGTTGTTGGTGTTGTTGTTGTTGTTGTTATTGTTGTTGTTGTGTGGGCTCAGTGCTCAAAGTAAACGAACAGACTTCTTTTTCTGTAGTAAGCAGAATACAAGTCAAAGACAAAGAATAATCCCCAAACATAGTTCAACAAAAATGTAAAAAATATACAGAGTATCCCAAAATGCTGGATACAATTTGTTAGGTAAAAGCAGCTCGCATCTATACGAAAGCTTACTCCCAAGCATGAAGTCATTTGCCTTCTTTCGATGGGCATAAATATTATAAATTAGATTATAGATATTAACAATAAAGCAAACAAAAATGATTACTATTAACAATTTATCTTATTTGTTTATTATTTTATTTTTATTATTATTTATTTCTTATTAAACCCTCCGTCTTCTTTTAGTGGGCTGTTGTCATATCCTAATGATAAGTATACATGTATCTGTTTTTCTTGTTACGTTATCATCTTATTAATACGTTATAATTAAGTTGTATTATTCTTTCTTATGAAGTTTGATGTTTGCCGTCCTTTAGTGGGCAGTGGTCAGATTATGTAGTACATCACATCTTCTCCTGGTTTCTTTCCCCCACAGCCAACAATGACATCACACGTTTGAACACTACAGAAGGCAGGGCTGTTCCGCCTTCTGTGGCCCCACCCTCGTCTGTGCCAACCACTGCAGAAACGACCACATCCTCAATCGCCATCACCACCACCAGCACCACAACTGCAGCAGCAACAACGTCATTGAGGGGGCGAGATGTAACGCAGAATACACAAGGGAGAGCAACAACATCTACATCAGCAACGACGAACGCACCACCACCAATAAGAGCAACAACGACGACAGAGATAGCAATAACAACAGAAATAGATACCACGCCAACGCCAATCGCGTCGACGAGTGATCAAACCACAGCCTCTTGGCAAAATACCGAAGTCGTTACTCTGCTCGCCTCTGTTCCGAGAACTCCAGCAACGACGACAACGACTACATCGACGACGAGAGCAATGAGACAAGAACAGAACTCCTCGTTTGAGTTAACTACCCCAACACCGACGACAACAACAGCAACAACAGCAACAACAGAACAGACTTCGGCCGTGCCTTTTATCCTTGTGACATTGACGGGGCTTCGCAATTCATCCACTCCTGATACTTTTGTCTCAACAACGACAACACCATCAACAACAACGACAACAACCGACAGATTTGATTCGACTCCGACAACAATGTCATCCCGACCACAACCACAAGTAACAGAATCACAACCCACGACTTCTTCATCTTCACCACCTTCTCTAACAGCTGAAACGGCAACAACAAAACCACATCCATCTTCAACAGCCCCAACCCCCACACCAACAGCAACTGCAGCAGACACAACATCGTCACCATCATCAACAACAACAGCAGTAATAGCCCCAGGAACAGAAGCAAGAACACAGGCAACGCCTTTAACAACAACTTTACCATCAACAAAAACTGAAGATCTAAAACCAACAACAGCATCAACAACAACAACAACAACAGCAATAGAGCCACTTAAAACAACAGCGATGACAACGACCACATTGATAGCACTCACGAGTAAGTCACCATCACCTACAACAACCACACCGACAACAACCAAAACAACTACAACCACAACTACAACAACAACCACTAGTAAGCAGCCAGACTTTAGAGTCTGCGGAGATATCTTTTGTCTGTGTCGTCTGTGTTTCGAGTGCTACCCCAACGTCTGCACTCTCTTCTCGCCTGGAGGGTTCTACTACACCCTATACCAAGGGTAAATTAGAATTTATCTACTTAAAAGATAAACTATAATACCATACCACTTGATTTTTTTACTACACCCTCCTCCAAGGGTAAATTAGAATTTATCTGCTTTAAAAAAATAAACTATAATATCATACCTCTAGAGATTTTTAATACATCCACTACCAAGGATAAATAAGAATAGGTATGCAATTTAAAAAATATAAATCTGCATTTCAAACACCATGAGATTTTACGACACCCTATATCAAGTATCAATGAAAAATGTGAATAGGTCTGCTAATTATATTTATTCATTATATTTTTTTACAATTTTGTTTGTAAACTGGAATATCATATTCCTACTACAACTGCTTCCAAGGATAAATAAGAATAGAAATGCTATTTTTTATTTTTTTTAAAGCATAAGTCATACACCTCAAGATTTCTATAAACCCTATAACCAAGGATAAATTAGATTTTTATATGTCTACTATTTTTATAGACAAGGATATCCCACCCCTTTAGATTTTTACCACTTTATAAGAATAGGTCTACCATTTTTAAAACAAAGAAGCATAATGATATTATACCCCTTGAGATTTTTACAACGCCTACTGCAAGAATGAAGGGAAGTAGGCTTGTTATTTATACATTGGAAACTCGAACACCAGTATAATTTTGCTTAACCCTCTACCAAGGATGAAGATAAATAGGCATACCAGTTTTTTTTTAATAAGCTAGAATAACATGGCCATTGAGACGTGTACTACATTTATTACCGAGAATAAAGGATAACAGCTAGAAATCATTCCTCTTGAGGAGTTAACCACAGGTGAAAAAAAGTACGATTTATAAATATAATATCACTATACCTAGCAGGGTACTTTTACTCGATCAGCAACCTAGGAAGAAAGCAGCAGGACTACAATTTTAAACTAGAATTGTATATATTTTGATGATTAACTACAGCACCTATAATTACCTAGGCTGAAAGAAAGAAGAGCAACTGCTTTTTATAAACTAGAATAGTGTTATTCGTCTAGGCGAGTTTACCTAAGATGAAAGAAAGTACCCCCTTTATACATCGAAATTACACGTCATGCGGGATTATTTTACTACTTGTTGGCCTGGTGTATGGATTTTTGCATCTCCACAGACAATCTTAAAGCAGAACGCATGTTGGTCGGTAGACATAGAGGAGGAAGATTTCACAATTACCAACTTCCCTTCCTTCAGATCTTGACTTTATCTCTGTGTGCTCCAAAGGAAGTTCAAACCGTTTGACAGCACTTACTACTTGGGGTTTAAAAAGTAGGCCTACAAAAGATAGAAGAAAGTAAAATGATTACTATTTATTAACTACAATATCAAACACTGGGTTATTTTACTAAGTATACTCACAGTCAAAGATGAATAGAGTAGGCTATAATACCTTAACAAAGAAGGCATATTATTCACACTTTTTAATTCGAATATTATTATCGTACTCTCTATGGCTTTAAACACACATAAAACTAAAGGAGAATGGCAGTACGTTTACCATAATCTATACAACATGTATAAAATAGAATTGCCCAGCTTTTATAAACTAACATTTCCCACCTTTTATAAACAATAAACTCAAAACTCATACATTTAAAACGAAAATCTTCCACCATAATTTATAAACAAGAATACCCCATCACTTGTGATGTGTAGTCTACTGCACCTGCTTCTATGGCTAAATGACATTATTGTAATCGATAAACACTAATATTACCAAAGTCTGTTGTATTAACTTAAAAGCTTCCTTTAGAAATATTTCATTGCGAAGAAGCAACGTCATTAAACTGGAAGAGCAATAACATTGGATATTAATTTATTGATTTCAGGCTGGGCTGTATCTATTTATAATCTGTTTTACTCTCCTAACCATTCTTATTTTTGTTTTTGATCTCTTTGTATATCTCTCCGTCTCTGAACCTCTCTATTTATTCTTAGTTAATAAATCTGTTAACTTATTTATACTGCTCTGACCGCCCTCTTCCTTTTACCCCCCCCCCCCACCTCTCTCTTTCTCTCTCTCTCTTTCTCTCTCTCTCTCTCTCAATCTCTCTCTCTCTCTCACTCTCTCTCTCTCTCTCTCTCTCTCTCTCTCTCTCTCTCTCTATCTCTCTCTCTCTCTCTTCTCCTTTCTTTAGGCTGCTCTGTGTGTGCCTCTATCCCACCCTCTCCCTTTGTCTCCCTCTTTCTCTCTTTCCTTCTTTCCCTCTCACTTCTTTCTCTTCTCCATTTCTCTGTCTATTTCTGGCTTTCTTCCTCCTTCTCTCTGTTCCTGGTTCCTGATTGTAGATCTTATGATACCGGTTGCCTACTGTAATAACAGTATCGCAATAAACTCTTTCATAATATTATACTTTTTTCCATCTATGAATCTGATATTTAACTTGTTGAATGAAATGTATTGCAGTTCTACAGTCTGTCATCAAATATGTTAAGCACAGAACAAGATTGAACGAAGCTGAATTTTAAATTTTCAACGCGTAAAAATAGCATATCCAAGTGTTGTATTTGTATGTATGATTTAATTATTGCAAGTCAGGCAGGCAAAATGACAAGAAATAAGGTGTTTTATTTTTATTGCACAAAGTTGCAATTTAAAAAATTCCAGTTAGCGGAAAACCAAAGTCAAAAGGCAGAAGATGTCCAATGTGAGACCATTTAACAACACACTCACCCACACAGAAACAAACACAGTGCTTGACAACTTTTTGCAACGCCGATGAAGAAGCTAAAATTTTCGCACCGCCTACCTACATTGTATCTCATAATATGACATTAAATAACATTTTCTCCCACCCGGATAATCCCTACCGTGCAACAACAAAAAAAAAAACCCGGCCAAAGTACCCACTTGTAGGCGATACGCCCAGACTGGCCAGCAATGAAAGAGAGTGACATAATACTGAGTGATCCAATAAAACAAAGCACATTTTTCTTCTAAAAAGTTGTAAAATGAATATGAGACAAATTTGGTTTGGCTGCCAAATGGTATGTTCGAATTTGAAACACAAAGTTTCAGTGTGGAAGAATATTTACACAAAAAAAGGCGTACAGTTGTTTTTTGGGGGCTCAAGCCTCTATCAACACTATTAAGTTGTATAAAAGCAGATGGGACCTCCGAATTTACCACTACTGTCTCCGATATGGTTGAGATAAAGTTGAAAATCTTGAAATATCGACAACAAAAAACGGTCCAAGTCTAAGATCGCCTAGCTTGGGATTCGAACCAGGGCCATGAGCTACACAGTCCAGCATAATATGTCAAGTGAGCCAACAGAGCACCCAGGACTGTTACGGTATTGGTGGTGGGGTGTATGATGGGGTTAAAGGGCGAGTGAGTAGATGAAAAGGGACAGCTTTTAGACAGATGACTTCCGAGGTGTGACCTTGACCTAGATCTACCTATCTAGAGAATGTTTCCGAGTGTTTCTGGGTCTGCTGGGGAAATAACTAAAGTGTAAAGCGAATAAAGCTTGCTGTCGTGCGGGGATATCCACTACACAAATGCTATTTATTATTATTATTA